CTAAAAGCCCTCAGTGTCATTAAATGTCATAATTATCTGCTTGCTCATGGGGAACGGCATACAATTGGCACCCTATGCCCACATCCAAATCGCGGGCGGGGCACCCTTGTCCCCACCAGATATCAAGTGCATCCATTGCAGTGGCTAACAAACCAGGCATGGACTGTACCTGGCCCGGCTCCCCTTCAGAGCGCTGCATCCTCTCGATCCCAGACTCGAAGCAACATTAATAACGACCCACTGTGGCCAAGCATGGTCAAACTCTGGAGAGGATGGGCCCGACTGCCTCCCCCCTCCCATCAGCCGAATCTCCCTGGCGCTTGTGGGTGCCAAGGGGTATCTTCAAGGTACCTGACTTGTGCGATGAGCACCGAGGCACGCGGAAGGACGCAGACCAACTAAAAGAGAAGCTTAAAATTTATCAAGGGCAAAAGTGCAAAACTGGAGCTCAGGGGCTATCCCACTTGCATGGGTTGCTCAATTGAAAGAAGGGCCAAGAATTGAGAAAGACGACCGCCTCGGACTGAGTGGTTAAGTATTCGGACCTACAAGGCTGCCACACCCGGTGGCGGTCCCATGCATAAAGTCACACAATTTGCTGCCAGAATCAAACGTTGTAATCCTCCTGAAGTTTATAAAGGGAAGGGTCTTCGATATCGAAATTATTATTATTATTATTATTTCCTGAACAAATGCTCCAATTTATTCGTGGGGAGCAGCACGAGCTAAATTAAATTATACTCGAGAAACAAGGAAAAAAAAAAAAAAAAAAAAAAAAAAAACATGTCATATTTCAAATCGAATAAATCAGAAAAAAGCGCACCAGCTCACGCATTTCTAGGCCTGGTGCAGGCTCTGAGCATTCATGGATTAGCTGGTCCACGAACGAACAGTAGTACGGAGATACAACTGCTCCTCCTACCGTTTTCACCCTTATACAACCGTTACATAGGGCTACAACCGCTGTAAGTTGCCCCAAATACGGCTATTATAGTGACTGTATAATGTGTTCGGGGAAGGTAGAAATCCCAAGAACAGCAACCCACAGTGCCCACAGTCCCCACATTGTTGCGGAAAAAACACCTCCCTCTCCCCTTCTCATCACCAGTGACCTACATTATGGACCTGATGGTTCCTACCCACTGGCAGCACAGTGAGCGGTGACGGAACGGTCATGGCGATTTGACTGGCAGGTAACGGGACCCTTTTCAGCCAAGAGAAACCCTCCCCAATAAGCCAAAGAAAAATAAATAATAGCAACATGCCGCAACCCAATCTCCCATTCACAGGCAACCAGTCACGGGTTTCGTGACTCGGTGAGCGGGTCTCGGTCGCAGAACACGTGACCTGTGACCAGAGGTACGGCACTGAACCTACCTACTACCCTTGCCCACTAGAACGGAGTAGTAGTACGTAAGCTGGGTGCAGATCCATGATAAAAAATAAAAAAAAAGAAGCCATTTTGTAAGTTTTGTTAAAATGCACATTTCATATTTTTTTAATGAAATTGAAACCGACTTATTCAGCGCAAAAAAATGTAGCATTTTGGCGAATGAGGATCCAGCGTTCCGAAAACGCTAGACCCCTTCCGATGTACTATTTGGACTCACGTAAAATCCAGGTACACCCAAGGGCGTCTGACGATTTCAGGTGTTCAAAAAATATAAACTGTACATTTTAAAGAAGCTGGGTAGTGCTCACAGTAGTTGGACCCCACAGGAATGTGGAAAGGAATATTTTTTCCGCAAACCTGTTTGCGGAACCCCATAGGCAGCGGAGGACCTTGTGGCAAAAAAGAAAATGTCTTCCAAATAGTGGTTTCTTCCGGGACCCCACAACCCGCAATTTATGCTGTGGAAGAACACGTATCTATCGCCGTTTTCACATTCAATTTGGCCGCGTTGTGGAAAAGTCGGTCAGGAGGACTTTTGGCAGCGATTTTGTGCCAAAAGTAGAGAGTGAGGGAGGGAATGCACAGGGAGGGTGCTTTCAAAGGTCTTGGCCACCTTTTGAACCACATGAGGGGGCACGGTCATTCCTTGGGTCCAGCCTATGCCTTCTGGACATTCGGCCACTTTCCTTTTCGGGACGCTGGCTGGGGACCTTTCCTGTTATGGAATATCAGTTGTGCACTTTGCCGCAAAAAGCAGTCCACTATGCGGTCCCGGAAAAAAAGTTCTCCACCTGTCCAAAATTGTTCGTCCTCTTTTTATGGCCAGACGTTTCTTACAGTGTTTCTACTTTGGGTTCCAACCCTAAGAGCGCCCAGGTAGACTGTGAGGCCCACTTTTTGGAATATAATTCCACATTATTACAGTCTTTTCAAAAAATAAAAAAAAAAGGGGCAAGTTCGTTAATGTCACAAGAGAGTTTCAAATGGACAAAAAAAAAATCGCCGAGGCGAAAGAAACAGCCACCGTAATTGGAAAGGCAATGAAAGTACTGCTACCCTGGGGCGAGGTCCCACTAGCAAAGAGGATTGGATTGAACGCCTTAATTTGCCCGCGTTTGTGGACAAGTGCAGAAAATCGAGATTCAACTCCTTTTCTGCATATCTCCCTAAAACACGCCCAGATTCAGGATCTTAATCCAATCCCCTGTTGCTAGTGGGAGCATGCTCCTGTTGTCAGGCCGGGATTCGTAACTACAGGGGTCAGCTCAGGGGCCTGGACCCATCAGCCAAGTATTCTACCACTTTGTTCAGGATTTCAATCACGTGTGGCCTCGAGTGACACAGTACGGCCGTCAAATAGATCGGATCTGGACGGCCTGGTAGTTTCCGAGGAGGACTGTAAAGATGCCCACCTCCCGTCCAATCAGATGCGTCAAAAAAAA